AAAGCAGAGGAGGGCCTTCCGGAGGTCTTCCCCAAGCGGGTAGCAGGGAAGAGGGGGGAGGAGGAAGACCCTTAAAGACTGTGCGTGGACAGAGGCGCGCTCATTCGGTGGGTGGAAGCCGAATCCGTGGGCCCACGAGGTGCAGGAGGGAACGCAGCCTCTGCTGGGGACGTCGTGGGGCGCAGAGTCGTCAAGACCAAGCGCTGCCCCTCTTTTCTCCAAGGTCCTCTCCTCCTTCGCTATGCATCGCCTAGATTCTGCCCTCTGCTCCCTTCCATTCTGGACCTGTACTTCATGTAGACTTCATTGCACCAACGCCCTGCCCCCAAATTCCTTTTTAAAAAGATGTCCAGACCCCCTGCTTCAGTGATTCCCTCCCTGGGCCACTGAGGATGAGCGGGGCCACCGACCTGTAATCCCTGCTAACCTCTGACCCCTTTCTCCTTCCCTTTAAGCAAACTTCCCTGCCCCCAAGGTGCCCCCACCTCCCCTCCGCCTTCTCCACGGCTCTCCAGAAAAATTAGCGCGGGCATTTGGAAAGTGGGTGGGGAAGGCTTGGGGGCCGAGACTACACACGGAGATCACGGGTCTTTAAGGTGCGCGCTCCTGGAGCAGGAGGCCTCTAGCCAGTCGGGAAGGGGAGCAGGAAGTGGGGGGCTTTTCCCACGGATTTCTTTCTGGAGGGGCTCTCCTGGAGCCTCCACCCGCGAATGGGGAGGCCGGGTTCCTCCGCAGGGCATCCATGAGAGTGCCTGCCTCCCACAAAAAACTGGGAACACGAGAGAGGCAACGAAAGATTTTGGTTTTAAAATGAGTAGTGGGGTAATATTTTGAACCACAGGACTGCTTAGGGAAGCGAGTCTGCCAGACCCGCGAGACCGTGGAGACGAGGCCGTGTGGGGACGAGATGGCGCCCAGGGGCCCCGGGGGACGCGAAGGGCGCGCGCGCGGGGAGGGTCAGAGGTGGCCGGAAGCTCGGATCACCGAACGCCTGTGGGCGTTTCGGGGGTGGGGGTGGGGGGCTGGGAGCGATGCAGTTTCAGACCGTGCCACCCCGGAGCGCCACCCTTTCACTGAGTCCGGACGAGCGGCTTTGAAGTCGCTGCCTCGGCTCGGCCCCTCCCGCGTCTCCGCCCGGCGCAGCGCAGAACCGCCGCGTCCGGGCCGTGCCGGCTTTGTCGCTAAGCGCTATTGCAGCGGCTCATTGGACCACGTCGGTGGGGCGATCGCAGCCCTCTGATCTGTGAGCTGCAAAGAGCTCAGCGGTTCATTCACAAATCCGCGCCAGGTCGGCCCTCGCTGCGCGCCAGCCCTGGGCCCGGAGCTCCCAGAGAGCGGGGCGCCCCGGAGGGGGCCCCGCTCCAGCCACGGCCTTCGCCTCCTCGCCGGCGCCTGGGTCTCGCAAGGCTCAAAATTTGGGGGCCTGGGGGGATGGGGTTTCATCTCAGTGGAAAGTTCGTAGCCAAGAAGTCCACCTCAGGGATCTGGGCTCCCGAGATTTCGCTGTCGAGCCAAGTGTCCGGACTGGGCCGGGGTCCCCTCCTCGCCTTCAGAAGGCAAGGACATGGCCTGGGCTCATCCCTAGAGTCCTGCTTCGAGCCACAGGGCTCAAGTGTAGACTCTCCCCGCCTCTCGGAGAGCCATAGGGCCCCCTCCCTCCTTCTCGGGGTGTGGCGGGGCAAGGCACCCGGCAAGTCTCTAAGAATCACCCCTAAAACCAAGCTTGCCTGGGGGTTCGCCGCTTACTCAGATGTGCAGGGGGGAGGGAAACCCTCTGAGGAAACCCGCCTGGGGGCCTCCTGGGGGTGTCACACTCCGTACTGCAGCGAGAGATCACCTTCAACCCGATGCAGCAGCGAGGCTGGGGAGTTTGGAGAAGGGTAGAGGAGCCGCGCCCCCAAGAGAGTCTGCCAGTTCTGGAAGGAAGAGACCAGGTCACACCCCGACGAGAAAAGGCCCGCGCCTCCTCCACCTTGCACACAGCCAGCTTCCGCCCTGCGTGCGCGCACGAAGGGAAAAATCTGGCCTGGGGCGCCCCATCCCCACTTCCGACGGAGACCACTGCCCCTTGGGCGGAGCAGCCCAATGCTGGGTGTTCACCCAGACACCTCTAGGTGATCCTGGGTGATGCGGGGTGCGTGGAGCCCCTCCCCTTTCCCCGCTCCGCAGAGCAGATGGGACCACAGTGGGTGCCGGGGGACGCGCCAGCCCCGCCACCCCCGACTCCCGCAAGGTTCCACACCCCCCACCATCGCCTGCCAGCCTGGATGTGCGAGGCGCCTGGGTTCCCGGAGAGGGGGCTCTCCGCTCGCGCCCTGGCGCAGACGCGCATGACGCTTTTGGGGCGTGGGGGGGGGGCTCAATTTCGTGCTTTCCAGGAGTTGTTTCTACTGCGGAAAGGAGATTCCCGCCCGGGCTGAAAGGCTGCAAGCCTGCATTCGGCGCAGTCTCAAGACTCTGGCAGCTGCTCAACCCAAAATCCATTCTGGCCTCCGACTTTGGAGAGCGTCCCCGGATCGAGGTTTCCTAACGGTCGAAACTTGGTTTCACATCTGTTTTCAAGGTTGAGCTCTTCTTGGCTGCTTTGCACGAGCAGCAGCTGAACTTGTATCTGCAAATAAGACAGAAAAGCGTCTCCCAAAGTGTGTCATTTGTTTGGGGAGCCTGCGCTTTGCCCTCTGAGCGCTTTGGCATCAAACTTTCCAGTCCCCGCTGGCCTCCTTGGACCCTCGCCCCCAGGCGCGGACCCTCAACATCTGAAACCCAGAGACTGCACAGCCACTGCCAAAGTTGGCCTAGGCTCCGCCAGTGGAGAGCTAAACTGGGTAGTTAATTAGGACAGCTCGCATTTCTGACTCCTGGTAGCTGGGCAGGTGTAAATCCCTAGGAATTTAAGGGCATTAGCTACATATGTGGGAAATCCTGGTGCGTATCCCATTTCTGTTTCCTAGCCTGTGTTTATGCTCCAGAAGGTATAGAGTTCCTGAACTTCGCCGTCATCTTGGAGGCTGCTGTGTCTTGGGGGATTAACTGATATGAGACACACAAAACCCTGAAACTCTGTAACATTAGATGCAGCACAAAAAGCTGCCTGCAGAGAAATAGAATATTTTTGTAGAGGGCCCTGAGTAGAGGGAAGAGTTTTGGGGGAGGAGAAAGAGCACTTCTATAGTTTGCCTTAACTTTAAAATATTGCTTCAGTGGGCTTTATCTTGAGTGGGCGAGGTGTGCTGGGATGAGGGAACAGGGCAGAAACGAGTTCAGGGAGAGGTTATGAGGGTGACTCTTCGGCCCTGACGGCAACAGTGGGAGCTGCCCCAGGAGGGCAGGTGGGCCTTGGTGAGCACACAGTGCACTGCTATTCAGGGTGACATCTCATGACCGAGCCTTGTGCCCTGAAAAGGCCACCGCTCCTCCCAAGAGTGCTCTTTATTTCTTAGCACAGGAATGAATGGGGGGACACACCCCCATACTATACACTCGAGAATATTGATCAGTTATTCAAGCTAAAGAAACCACCAGCTTCGCTGAACTCAGTGAAACTGATCGATAATGCAATCAAGTCTAGGGCCTGTTTGAATTTAACTCACAACTTAGTTTTGCCCTTTTATATCAAATTATAATTCTCAATATATTTCTATTTGATAAAGGAAGAAAGAAATCAATTTCATGACTAAGTTGAATGTAGGTTTAAAAAAAATCTATCTCCCCCAGTTAACCAGTAAATAACCGCATGAGTTCCCCAGTGAAGCGTTAGCTGGTTGTGATGTTTGGGGGGGATGGCTTAGATATTTTCTTCCTGATAGAAAAGCCTAGACTAATGAGTTATTTGTCTTACTAGCTGTAGGTAGGTTGGCAGGGCTGGGTCCAGGTTGTTTCAGTTAAACCTGAACTTGTCTAAAATTCAGGAAATATGTAGCCACTCCAATCATGTTCCCCAAAGATCATGTGAAGTCAGCGTACATGAGTTTATGCTACGCTAGCCTCTCCATGGGTTCCTGTGGCCTTTAGGGAAAGAAAGAGAAGAAACCTCATGCTCTGTGAGAGAAGCAGGTGTTCCGGGAGTTCCTTTTGAAGACTTGTTTCCCTTGTAAAGATCAAAAGGAAGACAGTGGGTAAATACTAGGATTTCTTCCACTGCTTGTAAGTGATTGTAAGGCTGGGGAGGGTGGATGATTTTCTTTACAGCTCATTAACCTTTTATATATTTTTCTTCTTGTTTCCATGTGCTTTAGCCAGCTCAAGCTATAGATGGCCCTCTTCAAATTCCGTCACCGCACCAACCCTGCTTAATTGCCTCTGGATTATTTGAAATGTGTTGCTTTCTTCCGGGTTGCCGCAATTCTAAGGAGACATTTTCTGTACCGTGGAGGTGTGAGGTCGCGGAAGAGTCTGCACCCGCTGCTCGGTCTCTTTGGTGAGGGCTCTGTGGTCCACTTGGAGTGGAAGTGGGCCCAGCTTCCGGAGGGTCCACATTTTGGTGGGATGGAGAATAGCAGTGAAACAGGGCGAGAGCAGGAAAGGGGCCCCCAGGGCACAAGGTGATACCCAAGAAATCCCAGGTGAGGTCATTTAAGGCAAGAGTCGCCTGGCCCTGGAGAAAGTCAACAGAGGCTGGGCAGCGGGGCCAAGGCGAAGGAGTGAGTTTGGGTGTGGGCTCCCTAGCACAAGTGGAGCGATCCTATGATTTCCCTTTAGAAGTGTCTGTTTTCCTAAGAAACCAGGTTAGGAATGGTTTCTGGACCTTAGTCTCCAGCCCTGCAGACCTGCTAGTCCTCCACGCACCTCCCCAGCCCTCTCAGGCTGGCGCTGCAGCTAAGCGTCACAAGTAGGTCCTGTCCCTGCGGCCTGGACGGCAGGGCAGTTCCCAGTGAGTGGCTCACCCACTTCATGCCCCCCAACTTCCAGGGAGCTTATACCCAGCACAAGCCGCTTCTACTACTGCTCTCATGGCAGGGTCCAGATGGGCCATGAGGCTCCTTGTGTGCCGCCCTCCTCAGCCAAGCCTCCGCGGGCACCAACCCACCCATCAGTCTTCCGGGCGCTACTCTGGGCTTTGGGAGAGCTGGGCACCTCATCATGGCCGAGGTCAGGGAGAGGCACGGGGTCTGCCGTGCAAGGGCATGGGTGCCCCACTCCCCATGACGCTCCAGGCCCTTTCCAGGCCCTCTGCTGCTGCGCTTAACCCCTTCCTTCCTGGGGCTAGTCGGACGAGGTACCCCGGGCCCCAAGTTCCCCTGGTCTGTAGGCCGGTGCGTGGCTGGGAGGTGAGCACACCCGCGCTTCCTCGGCGCCTGCTGGCCCCGCCCGACCCACCCCTTCCTCCGCCTGCCCCTTCATTTCGGCCTTTGTCTGCAGGCCGGGGGCGCGGCGGGGACAGCACCAGGAACCAAGGGTGGCTCTCCGCCAGGCGGGACGTTTCTCTCCGCTCGGTCCCGATTCCCCGGCCCGGCGCCCAGGACCCGGCTGCGCGGAGCTGGCTCTTGGCCAGGGAAGCGGGGCTCCCGGGCCTGATTCTGTCGGGTGGCGATTTCGCTCTCCGGAATTGTTGGGCGTCTCTATGGCGAGGACCTCTACGAGCGAACGCCGCTCACATTGCGTTCGTTTTTTCTCCAGCGTCCCCACGCGCACCCAGAGAAGTGTGGAAAGTGAGGGGACGGCAGAGCGGCTGGAAAAGTTACCCTCCTTCGGCCTCGTTTTAAGAAAACGCGGGAGGCTGGACCAGCATTCAGGCACCCAGCGTCTCCAGGAGCGCTTCCGCCACCCGCAGCCTCGCGGAGATTCTACGTGCGATACTAGCGTCGATGCTATGAATGCACCTTATCTAGAAGCCGTCTTTCCCCTTGAAACTTTCTGACGTCCGCCTTTGTGCAGAGAGCCCGGGAAGTACAGAGGGTGCTTCTCCCCAAGCGGGTGGTTGCGGGCATTCTCCCGGACGCAGTGAGCCGAGGACGGATCGGGGTCTGCGGGCCGCGGCCGCGCTTCACGTTGAGAAGAAACAAATGTTCGGCGTTGGTTCTCTTGTTCACACAGAAAAGCCCACCCTGCGGGGCGGCGGCGGCGGCCGTCTGTCCGGGTGGGAAAGCGGGCCAGCGTGGCTGGCAGGCCGCAGGGCCCGCACCTCGGACCCGGGAGCAGAGACTAGGAAATGCGCCCCCGCCCCACGACCCCAGAAAGCACAGCCTGGCCGCGTCCCAGCCTGGCCGGCGGAGCCTCAAGCGTGTTTTAGAGCTTCCTGAAACAGCCTGTTGTGATTTCTGTTTGAAAGGTTTAGGATTCCCTTATCCTTGGAGTAAATCAACTCTCTGCGGCTCCCATCCAGATTTTCCCTCTCTCCTGGCTGAACCTTCGAATGGTGCCCACTCTCAAGGGGCGATTTTTCTGGAATTGTGTTCAGGTTTGGGTTGGCTCTGGGCAGCCTAAGGCTCCCTGCCGATTTCTCTCTTCATCCTCTTTTCCCTCCTCCTGCCCCTGCAGCCTCCTGCTACAGCACTCCCACCCAGGCCAGTAAGCAGGAAGTGGCCTGCTTCCTCAGACCAGCCTGACCTGCAGCCTGGAGACCAGTGTCCACAGGTTGCTGCCCCCTCCCCCCAAAGTGAGGTATGCCTGGAGACGACGTGCTGCTTTGCAGAGGTCATGTTGCAGCCAGCAACCTGGGTCTGCATCACAGGAGAAAATACAGATGAAGTCCAGCACTTGGGCTCAATTAATGTTCAATCAGAGGCAAAGGTGCTGCAGACATTAGAAAATATTTCTCAGGAGACGGCCTAATTGGTTTTCACGGGACAGGTGGAGAAATTAACCTGAGACGGCTTTTTTGCAGGAAGCAGACGCACCATGGGCCCTCCCTCTACCCACTTGGTGATCGGAGGCCCCAAATAATTGGACATTCCCTGAAGATTAGGGTTCCCAAACTTGCAGGAAAATTTCCCACCGAACCCTCAACACGTGTAAATAGGATGTCCCCACAAGCCCCACCAGCCCCATTTTTCCAGGAGCAGGCAGACTATGGGTTCAATTTCTTGAGACTCGGGGAAGGCCACTGGCAGGTGTGTGCCTGGCCGGATAATTTGGTGAAGACCCCTCCAGTGGGGGGTGGAGGAGAGATGCGAGTCACCCCAAGTTAAGAAGTAGCTTCCCCATCCTGCTTGAGCCTTGCAGAAGACCAAAGAGCCCCCCCATCTGCCTCCAGAGCCTACCCACACCCAGCCCCCTACCTGCATTTAGTGGCCAGGTGACCCAGCCAGCACCTCCTCCACGGGTTAAAGTCCCCGGAGCAGCACCCTGTAACTGTTACTTCTAGTTCAACCTAGGCCTCACTCTGGAGCCTGCAGTGGGGTGGAGAGAGAATAGGACCTGAGTGGGGACCAGAAGACAGCTGATCCAGGCCAGGGGCAAGCCTTCAGGCTTCAAGGTGGCCAGGAGGGCTGCTTGCCCAGACCTTTTTCCATCCCTCCCGGCCTGACAGCATCTCGCTAGCTGCTCCAGGCCCAGGGCCGGCTGCAGCTCCGCAGTGGGCCCCAGTTGCTGGGCGCCCTGCAGCCACCTGGGCCGGCCAGACCTAGGGCATCCCAGCTCTCCCTTCTCTTCCCCTCCTCCCCATCACTCTGCCCATCCTCCCCCAGTGTACATTTATCATGCCATGCTCCAGCACCTTCAGAGGTGCCCTTTTGGATGTTTCTCAAACTTCAGAAATCTCCATGAAAGTGCATTTTAAATGATGAACAGGCATGCCTGTGGTAACAGCCGGTGTTTGGTGGGGTGTCTGCAGCTGGGGGCAAGAAGAGAAGAGTGAATAGGAAAGAGCCAGAAGAGGGGAGGAGAAGGGGAAACAGAAGTTCAAGTTGGACATTCTGACAGCAACTGGAAAGGAAGTTTAGAAAAGGACAGAAAAAAGAGAGGAGGGGAGAAATAAAATTGGGGCCCCCACCCCACCATTGGTTTCTAATTTCCCTTTCAGATGGGCCCAGCTCTCCTGAAAGACTAGTTTGAAGGATTTTAAAACAAAGAAAATGAGGTGACTGTCCTCTTGGTAGTCCCTCCATGGGTTAAGGACTTGGGGTGGGGCAGAAGGTGGGTTTGGAATTGGGGAGAGGCAGCCTCTCTGGGATGTTTTCTCTCCACGTGGTTTTGAAGCTTTGGCTGAACCGTGAGCTCTCCTTTCCTTCCTTTCCTTTCCAAAAAAGGAAGATTCAGTTATAATCCCTCTTGGATTTCTCTTCCCCCACACGCAGTCCCCAGTCATTTTCCAGACTCTTCTGGCGCTGCATGGATCAGTGTCCCGGGGAGAACGAATCCCACCGTATGCACGCGGCTCCCTGCACACGCACACGCGTGCACACACGCACACTTACAATGAGTGTAGGAAGAGGGTCCTGCGCGCCAGCTCTGCATTTAAGACAGGAATCTGCCTGGTTACCAAAGTCAAATGTAAGTGACAATTCCCCTCTCCACCAGCAAGGAAGGCAGACTACAGAAGTCCCTTTGTATCTCGGCAGCTCATTTAATGTTATTTATGCATTTTTGTGCAAGGAATTGTGGGATTTTTCCCCATGGTAAACAATATGGAAATGTTTAAAAATAGCAATCTTCCAGCGCTTGCCCATGTCTGCACGCCAGGGCTCTCGCGGGGCTTCCTCAGATCCCTGAGCCGAGAAGCGAC